TGTCCACCTTGGTGCTGTAACAAATTGCGTTTGTTGTCGCCAGACCAGCCCCTCCTCAACGTCCTTCGCCCGGCGCCGCCCAAAAGTAGGAGAGGGGCTAGGGAAGTGGAAATTAACGAAAAATTACGCGTGTGCCAGTGTGCTGGCCGAAGTTGGCTGGGAATTTATTGTTAAATTAGTTGGCGGAAACTGCACTCCGTTGCCGGGGGGTTACCAGGGCCTGCCTGTGGGTTCAACATAGTGAAGATGATCGGTACACATAAGTTTGTCTGTCTAAAGGCTATCGGAGTCTCACATTAAGTTACTTACTATGGTGAATGCGTGTAGATCTACCGTTTGAGTACATGCGACCAAGGGAAAATAAAAGGGGGTTGTGTTTTTCACCTTCGACAACTTTTAAGCACCACCTCGATGGAACGGTAGTTCAGACGACACAGAGCAGAGACCAGGTTTATTAGACAGGTCGCTGAGCTCAGGGCAACTGTCGCCGAAAAACTGGACCAGGAATATTTTACGACAGTCAAACAATGGACAGCCTGCAATCCCAGAAGTTGGCAGCGGAGTGCGACCGATATGAAGTTTTGGTAATGTCTTCAGCAGATCGTCCGGCTAGTTACATAAAGAAAAGAGAAGTGGGTCGTGCGGGATGAACCTAACTGGCGTGTGTCCGTTTGAAAAAGCGGGGGGCAGACAGAGTAGGTCACTTTCAGTGATGCTATCATTCGCTGAGGGACAGTTGTTGTTATCCTCCTCCTCTTCCTGGCCGGATGTGCGCGACACGGTCGGCGCAGCTCGAGTTTGCGCAGACCAGGTGTCCGTGTTCACAGGCCTGGCCGACAACTGACGTCCTCATGCCTTCACGGCTAGATGCGAGAGCACATAAGAGCGAGACGGCAGACCGTTTATCGGACGCAGCAACCATGTCCTGTGACAATGGGCCTTACTCCTAGCTCTCATGGAGTTCCACTATTGACGATGGGCCATTATTGGCGGATAGGAGACTGGCACAGTGACGGATTAAGCAGCCCTGTTCCCTACTAGGGTTCGGATTCCACTCAAGCAGAACATGGAGGCCTGGTAAGGCCCTCGTTAAGAGGACTGAGTCTCCTATCGGCTGGCGTCCTTCCGAGTCAGGGTGTTTAAGATGCTGGAGGTTATTTATTGGATTATGCTGAGGGTGAGTTCCTAAGTGACGTAATCACCCTTCAGGCTTCCCTTCTGCCCCGGCAACAGGAGAAATGCAAGTCTATTAGAAATTTGACTGAACGCTGTGTGCACCCTGTCCTCCTGAACGACACGCGTTTCAGCGTGGTGCGGACTCACTAGACATCCAATCGAAAAGTCGTCTCACAGCCCCTTAGGCTTAAACGACAACATCTGCTCCACAAGGACGAACTTCATTGATAAAGAATAGAATGCTATTATCGACAAATACAAGTGAGACTGGAATGGCCTGAGTGACGTAATCACCCTTCAGGCTTCCCTCCTGCCCCAGCAATAGGAGAAATGCTAGGCTATTAGAGATTTGACTGAACGCTGTGTGCACTCTGTCCTCCCGGATGACACGCGTTTCAGCGTTGTGCGGACTCACCAGACGCCCAGTCGAAATGTCGTCTTACAGCCCCTTAGACTTAAGCGCCAACATCTGCTCCATAAGGACGAACTTCAATGATAAGGTGTACTTGGCAAGATGTGCTTATGTAACCCCACCTGATGGGCACAATACTGTTGGGGTTTAGGCTAGGGGTTAGGGCGACTATTCCTCAAACAATTAAGTAGTCAAGCGTAAAGCCACTTTGGATGGGTTGACACCTGTTGAATTGACTTACGGCGTCAATCATGTCTTAAATCAATAGACATCAATAGAGGACTAAGCAGCGTCAACAGAAGCGAAGAGACAAGTCTTGAAGAAGGAGACATGCTCGCTGGGACAAGAGTTTTATTAGCCTGGCGTTTCGGACACCTGCTCGAATCGATCATCAGAGACAACAGCAGATACGGGTGATTCATGCACAAGGGGCTGCAGTATTTATAGGATGCAGTCGTCATGCTACCGCATACCAATGAACACATTCAAATTCGACGAGGCCGAAATTTTCGCAAGAGGTGATAACCGCGTGAGCCGGGAGCCATTTGAATAATGGTTTACTGGCCCCCAGTCCATTAAAAAGTGCAATGAACTTCCCCTTCCATACTCTGTGCAGAGACTTCGCCTAGGCGGAGTAATAGCCACGCGGGGCGCGCACAGGTGAACACGTTTCCCAACACTGGGGTCGGTGCGTCAGATGGTTGAGCAATCATCACACCAACATCCAACGCACGTGATGAAATTGCAGCAATTAACGACGCGAATATCGACCATCAAACAATCACCACACCAAGTGCAACGATCCCGGATGAATGGGGGAGCCGTGAATGCTCATAGGCATGTGGTTGCATGGCGACTACATCCTACAAATACCGCAACCCCTTGTGCATCAACCGCCCGTATCTGCTGTTGTCTCTGATGGTGGGTTCGAGCAGAAATCCGAAACGTCAGGCTAATAAAGCTCTTGTCCCAGCAATCGCGTCTCCTTCTTCAGGACTAAGCAGTCCTGTTCCCTATTAGGAGCGTCTCGTAACGCCCCGCGAGCTCGGATTCCACTCGAGCAGAACATGGAGGTCTGGTAAGACCCTCGTTAAGAGGACTGAGCTTCCTATCAGCTGGCATCCTTCCAAGTCAGGGTTCTTAAGATGCTGGAGGTTATTTATTGGATTATGCTGAGGGTGAGTTCCTGAGTGATGTAATCACCCTTCAGGCTTCCCATCTGCCCCGGCAATAGGAGAAATGCAAGTCTATTAGAAATTTGACTGAACGCTGTGTGCACCCTGTCCTCTTGAACAATCGAAAAGTCGTCTCACTGCTCCTTCGGCTTAAACGACAACATCTGCTCCATAGGGACGAACTTCATTGATAAAGAATAGAATGCTATTATCGACAAAGACAAGGGAAACTGGAATAGCCATTTCTGGCTTATTAACCGTCGTCAGCCAGTCATACCCAACCCCGAAGTGTGGCACACCCGAGGCTCGAACTCGCGATCTGTTTGTTGGAAGCCTACGCCTCTAACCACTGAGCCACGAGCCTGTTGCCCTGTCCGTTTTGGTCTGGAATATACAATGGCAGGGTCGCGAGTTCGAGCCTCGGGTGTTCCACACTTCGTGATTGGGTATGACTGGCTGACGACGTCTAATAAGCCAGGAATGGCCATTCCAGTCTCCCTTGTCTTTGTCGGTAATAACATACTGCCTATGTCATGCGCCACTATGCGGCTGTTGGTTGGGCTCGAGAGAGAGCCCACAAGGCACAACGGAACGAGTGAATTCCGTAAGAACGATAGGTGAGCGCCCCTACCATTGATAAAGAGTACTTGGCAAGATCTGGTTATGTAGCCCCACCTGATGGACACAATATTGTTGGGGTTTGGATTAGGGTTAGGGGTTAGAGTTAGGTGGCAGGATTAGGGTGAGGACAACTATTTCTCAACCACTCAAAATACAACCGCGCATTCCCAATGGCTTTTCTTTTGCATACAACTACTTGGCCTCGTCGCCTGTGCGTCCCCCGGCCGCACCTGTAAAAACCCCTATTACAGCCGGTCCTGTATTACAGATGGCTGGGGTTTGCTTACTTCAGGTGGAGCTACATAACCACATCTGAACCTTGTATTTGAATTGGAGTATGATCAGAATACTGGAACGGGATCATATCCCATAATCAAGACTTAGTCGGAACAACGGAATATGTGGTCAAAAGTAGTGACTGAGCGGATAATCGGTGCTACTATAGCGTGATTCCTACCACCGGTTTTCTGCCGTAGCACGTCTCGTGTACTAATCGATACCGATCAAAAATCAAAATCAGGTTAAAAATATGTTGTTAACATTGAAAAAATTAAACTCGCACTAAATAACAACATTTAAGAAGCAAATACTTCTTTAGTATCGCACAGGATTGCCTCAAAGTGGTATTTGTCACTTCTCAAAACACGCCAGCAGTGTTCGTCCAAGTGCCCCTGAAGTAAGCGCTGTGGAACTCTATGATTTTTCTCCAAAATCTCAATCGTGCTGTCTAGTCAAGTCCTCTTAATTTTTTGGCTGTGCGCAACTGCACGCAGACCAACGTAATTGTCTTGAGGATTAACGGCTTCGTGATAGTACTTAGTCTTTATCGATAAACTGGCTATTTGTCAGAATGTATTATTGAACCAGCTTCCATTTAGCATTCAGTGATAAGGCTTAACATCGCTACATGTCGGTTGTGTATGTAGAAGTACCAAACATACAGTAGATGTGCTAACTCATGAAATATCAACCAAAATTTCGAAATGCGTTCTCGTTTCGAAAAGATAAATTAAGTAGTGTTGTAAAACTGATCATGATGCAGCATGAATCTATGAGGATCCAGTCACCTCAGGGTGTCGGCTTTCGAAAGAACTTATTTTCGGCTGCATGCAAGATCTATACTCTGCAAATAATGACTACTTATGTAGTATGCAATTTTCTCATTGATTTTCGATGCCCTTGAAAATTCAATTATATTTCATGGAAAACATGCATAAAAATATTCATTCTTTTACTTATTCGGTAGAAAATCACGTCTTCTTCCAATTTCATACTCAAAAGAAGAGTATAATTCGGTATTAAAAAACTTTTCTAATTCCCGAATAATTTCGAACCCGACCTGCTGTTACACTTGCATTTAGGGTTTCAAAACTACAGGCTGTATATTTTCCGTGTACGGAAAACAATGCATTTCTCTACGGCGTTAAGAAGAGACCGTATGAGGTTCATAAAATTAAGCCGTGGATTTGAGAAATATGGTTAACTTTACAAGCCATATTGGTAAATGCAGATACATGACGTTTCATGAACGGCCATTTGACGGTATTAAAAAATCTCACAGTTAGAAACTTTTTTAAAACCGAATTATACTCTTCTTTTGAGAATGAAATTGGAATAACACGTGATTTTCTACCGAATAAGCAAAAGAATGAATGTTTTTATGCATGTTTTCCAGGAAATATAATTGAATTTTCAAGGGCATCGAAAATCAATGAGAAAATTGCATACTACATAAGTAGTCATTATTTGCAGAGTATAGATCTTGCATGCAGCCGAAAATAAGTTCTTTCGAAAGCCGACACCCTGCGGTAACTGGATCATTTTAGATTTAAGCTGCATCATGATTAGTTTTACAACACTACTTAATTTATCTTTTCGAAACGAGAACGTATTTCGAAATTTTGGTTGACATTTCATGAGTTAGCGCATCTACTGTAGGTACCCTTACATAATCCAAAGTCCCATGACCACCAGTATGTGAGTCGTGGTTTCGATAACTCTACACTGGATCGTCACCGTTTTTTCGGCAAGTGCATCTTAACCTAAAAGACGACAAAGATCGTACTTACGGCGTTCTGAAAATCTAGCCTGATCGATCTGTATTGGGTGTTCCGGTGTTCCATTCAGGTTTTTTCTCCCACCAACAGATACCATTCCGGACCAAACTTCCCTGGTGAGCTGTGGAAATCACTGTCTGGACGCTTGCCAATGAACAGGGTGCTTTTGCCATTGTAGACTGCGCCTCCGGCTGCGACTTTTAAGGTTTTATTCGCCTGACGTTCCGGATTCCTGCCCAAACCCATCATCAGAGACAATAGCTGTAGTTCTTATAGGATGCCGTCGCCATACGACCGCATACCTATGTAAATTCGCGGCTCTCCCCATTCATTGGGGGATTTTCGTACTTGGTGTGATGACTGTTCGATGGCTAACATTCGTGTCGTTAATGGCTGTAATTTCATCACGAGTGTTGGATGTTGGTGTGATGATCGCCCAACCATCTGACCCACTGACCTTGACGTTGGGACCAGTGTTCACCTGTGCGCTCCCCGTGTGGCTAGTTACTCCGCCCAGGCGAAGCCTCAGTCCCGAATATGGAATCGGGAGGTCAGTACACTTGTCAATAAATATGACTGCGTTAGTCTTCATTTTGACTCGGTAGACTAACGAAATCAACACGTCTTGTGGTTGACTACAGACCGGACAAGATGCCTGTTTAGCCGTTATTTCCAAATCTCCCCTGCGACATTCAAGACCTCTGCATGCCACTGACACATAACCGGGACGATGTGCCGGCGAGAGATTGATACATCGAAAGTCCTCATCACCTGAATTAACTTTGTGCTCAAATTCTCGCCCATATGGGAGATAGTACCAACCGAAAAGGATGGAGTAATTCCTGCTTCACATTGAATGTGTATGTGCTCAGTCAGCTCAACTCCGTCCTTGGAGAGGTCATGTTCGAGGAGACTATTCAGTGGCTTCACGAGTTCTTTTTGTCGCAGGCTTGCATGGAACAATTGACAGTTATTTCGAGGGTTTCTGCTGACGATTTCAAGACAGACAGGTATGCTTGCCAGTTATTTTTAAATATTTACCAAGTCGATTCCAATGATATCTGTTGGTCGATGTGAAAGCATTTGGTTGAGGACGCTGGGTTTCTCGCCGACGCCCTGAGTTGCTACCCTAAAGAGGCCATAGAACCAATGTGTTTGCAGACGGTCACATGAGATTCGCACGACTTATTAGCCTGAGTACTTTCTAATAAGTCCTAGAATCAATTAGATTTTGTTTAGGGTACTTATTTAAACGAGGTAAACTGAACTGACCGTTTCTGGTCTATTAGACATCATCAGGCGGGCGTACACGGTCTCACGTTTTGAGGCACCTAGTATTCGAACCCGAGATCTTTGGCCATTGCGTTGAACGCTCTGCTATTGAGCCACAGTCCTGTTCTGTCTCTCGTGTCATTTTTTCCTCAGGATTCGCTGAAGCCCATCCGCGTGAAAGGAAATAACTTCCAACCTGAAAAAGACTTGACTAATTTACGTCAAATGCGCCATTTATTGTGGTACATGACCCGAGCCAAGAACGCAAGACAGTGACCATTTAAATTCGGTGCGTTTGAGGGTGGATTGCGCTTCATCGTGTTAGTAGTCAGTTTGGCTCATTCAGATAAGAAGAGGCGCAAACTCGCCCGCAGCTCCGTACCTGTAGTGGTGTCGACAGTCCAGGCGTCAGAAGCTCCATGCTCACCGAAAACCGGAAGACTGTATTTAATGTGAGCGTCGGCACACAAATCAAAGCATTTGGCCGCAAAAATCAAGGATAAGAGGAAGGTGAGTGGATTTGGAGGGGCTGCAAAAGTCGTTTCGTGCGACTTGTCCCACCGAAGGTATTCAAGGAGGCATTGCTGTCTGGAATGTGAATCATAATGCCATCGAGGCAGATGTTCTGATTTCTTGAGAGGGAGCCAAATATGTCCTCTATACCTCATAGTTTACCATCGTTCACAGTGTGAAGGATCTTGGCTGAATGCCAGAAGGAACACGGAGCGAGAGAGAGAGGGAGGCATGAGAAAACTTGCGTAGCGGCAATCTAACAAGATAGTAGCGCTGAAAAAGGATTCAGACGCGTGAGGGTCTTCTTGAATTTCACGCGGAGTCTCCGGCAGGAGTCCTCGCCTTGGCTGGGGAGCCAGATGATCCAGCAAAGAGCGCGCAGCGACTGCCGTAAATACTGTAATGGCGTTTCTTGAAGCAGTGATGGATTTCTTTTTGTCTGGTTCACTAACACGGCCTTCGCCGCGGACTACGAGAAGAACTGCAGTGCGGCCTTCAGCTTTTCCACTTGAAACTAGATCAGAGTGCTCTCACCGTCGACTTC